ACGCTAATTTTCGGTTTTGCTGAAATAAGCTAAAGTTATTATTTCCTATATTTGCTTCATAAACATACGTTCAGATATAGTCAGGACAATAACATCCAGGGTGAAGCCCCGGATAACTTCTGTTTTTTTCCAGGTGAAGGTTGTGTCCCCTCCAAGCCCTCAAAGTGAAGGTTACCAGAGTACGTGGCTCTATGTATCGAGGGTTCGCTCTAACAGAAATTTCGCAGTGAATGTATCCTTACAAATTCCTTTTCTTGTGATCAAGTTGTGTCATCCGCGGCTACAACCGAATTTCCTATCAACTTGTCTCGCGTGAATTTAAATGACGATGCTTTCAAAGGCACTACTTCGTCTGTGTAAAATTCTTCTAATCTCGCGCCTCCTCTCCTCAGCATCGGTAGAAGCTCGCAATCATCTCAAAGTCTTCACCCGCCACAAAAGCACAGCCCAGCAAAGATTTTGGTCCTTAAAAATCTTACACAACAAGTATCCTCGACCTAAAGCGCTTCTTCTCTCGGCCACCCCACTCCTACCTCGAAGATTACCTCTACCTCTACCTCCTTAACACAACAGGCAGCGCAGAAGCATAGCACCTTCACACACACGACAAATATTCCTCCATACCTTTTATGTCACCACACTACACACCACACCACAACTGTCAAACCACAATGTCGTTTAAACATAGATTAATCAAACTCTTTCTTGTCACCAGCTATGTCTCTATTGCTTAGGAACATACAACAGTCTATGCTGTGACGCAATACATACATGCCTGAGATGTAACAAAATCCAGCACATCACCGCCCTTTGTCCAAGTAAGCCCATCCAATTTTAATGGTCCCGGGGAGCGGGACCTTCCGAAGCGGTAAGATGTAGGAAAAGCGCAAAACTTATCACAGCGCCAATCGGCTATGTTCGGCCGCTTCATCTTACCTGCCCACAAAGGGGGCATAAAACAGCATGAGTCCCGCCCTTTCGGGCCTCTAGCACGACCGCACGCCAGCTTTGGCTGGCCCTGTTATCACCAATGCTGAGGTGAGCCCCAACCCCCCCCCTTCTATTCATTTACTTCCCTCTCTGTTCGCCTCATCTTTTTATTGTTTCCTCTGTAATGTATTCCCCTGTGCCTCCTTTGTATTTCTTGCCCTTTGCACGATGTCTTGTTGATATAACGATAAAACCTTAGTGATTACTTGTGTGCTGTATAGGGAAGGAGTCACTTAGAAAGAGGTCGTATATGTAAGCGTTGCTGGACAAGTTCGAACACATATTAATCTTTATTCTATCACACTGTGCTTGGATAGTCAAAAAAGTGCTTTTTATGGCGTTTTTCTGCTTAGGAGATTGCTGGAGGGGCTGGACGAGCGATTCCCGTCGACTGAGTTGCGATTGGCTGCCTGAATCAATCAGTCAATCGCAAAGGATGAACCTACGGTCTCCTGCAGCCATCTCTGTTTTTGGCGAAAATCGTTTCTCCAGCCCCTCAACGCTCTTCAAAGTCGGAAAATGCCAAAAAACACATTTGGACTCACTCACAGTTCCGGGCTCAACGGATCCAAAAAGCCATGTACGAAGCTTATCAACTAAAGTGTCGGTGCGCCAGCACGTCCATCCCGCGCTGGACTCTGCATCTCTTCCGCGAAACATGCTCCCTAATCACTTCTAATCCATTAAGGCTCCGCCTTTCCCACACTTGCCCTGGGAAAGTGCTCAAAGAGCATGTTCCGCGGCAGAGACGCAGAGTGCAGCGCGAGAATGGAGATGCTGCTGCACCCGACGCTTCACCTTCAACTGGTTTGAGGCCTTGTAGCATCCTGCGTGTGCAGCTGCAATCTCACCGACCTCACCGCAATGACGCAGAGCTTTATAGAGTTACTAGCTGGCTTACCCGGCTCCGCCGTATCCGGACCAAACTTGGCACACATACACTTCGGGCCCCGGCGGGTGTCACAGTCCACTTTTCGTTATCGATCGATGTCGATTTTACCGATTTTTATCGATTTTTTTGCAGAGTTCACCTACAGGGCTAGGAGTTGGCACAGGGGGGGTAATCGAGCATGGGGATTCCGAATACAATATTAGTTTTCAGAATTATCGATTACTTTTATTGATTTTATCGATTTTTTGTAAATTTTGACATGCGGGGCTGGGATTTTGCACAGGGGGGTAATCGAGCATGCTGATTACGAACACAATATTAGTTTTCAGGATCGTCCATTACTTTTATCGATTTTATCGATTTTTTTGTAAAGTTTGACCTGCGGGGCTGGGAGTTTGCACAGGGGGTAATCGAGCATGGGGATTCCGAATACAATATTGGTTTTCGGGATTATCGATTACTTTTATCGATTTTATCGATTTTTTGAAAATTTGAGCTAGGGGGCTGGAATTTGGCACAGGGGTGTTATCGAGCATGCTGATCACCCCCCTTGGGGATGATCAGCATGCTCGATTACCCCCCTGTGCCAACTCCCAGCCCCCTAGCTCAAACTTTGCAAAAAAATTGATAAAATCGATAAAAGTAATCGATAATCCCGAAAACCAATATTGTATTCGGAATCCCCATGCTCGATTACCACCCTGTGCAAACTTCCAGCCCCGTAGCTCAAACTTTGCAAAAAAATCGATAAAATCGATAAAAGTAATCGATAATCCTGAAAACCAATATTGTATTCGGAATACCCATGCTCGATTACCCCCCTGTGCCAACTCCCAGCCCCGTAGCTCAAACTTTGCAAAAAAAATCGATAAAATCGATAAAAGTAATCGATAATCCTGAAAACCAATATTGTATTCGGAATCCCCATGCTCGATTACCCCCCTGTGCCAACTCCCAGCCCCGTAGCTCAAACTTTGCAAAAAAAATCGATAAAATCGATAAAAGTAATCGATAATCCCGAAAACCAATATTGTATTCGGAATCCCCATGCTCGATTACCACCCTGTGCAAACTTCCAGCCCCGTAGCTCAAACTTTGCAAAAAAATCGATAAAATCGATAAAAGTAATCGATAATCCTGAAAACCAATATTGTATTCGGAATACCCATGCTCGATTACCCCCCTGTGCCAACTCCCAGCCCCGTAGCTCAAACTTTGCAAAAAAAATCGATAAAATCGATAAAAGTAATCGATAATCCTGAAAACCAATATTGTATTCGGAATCCCCATGCTCGATTACCCCCCTGTGCCAACTCCCAGCCCCGTAGGTGAACTCAGCAAAAAAATCGATAAAAATCGATAAAATCGATATCGATCGATGACGAAAAGTAGCCTATGACACGCGCCGGGGCCCGAAGTGTATGTGTGCCAAGTTTGGTCCGGATCGGTTCAGAAATGGAATTTTCTATTCGGAACATACGTACACACAGACATACAGACAGACAGACAGACAAACAGACATTCAGCTTTATATATAAGATTTCTGTCAATAGCAAACACCAATGGAATACCCCTTTCTCTTTCTTCTGTTCCTGACGCATTTTTCGGAAGATGCATTAGCCATGTTGGCTCCTCCCTATCAAAGGCAGCGTCCAGGCAAATCTGTACATATGGGGATTTTACGTGGAAAGCAATTTTGGGGCCTTAACTAAGGCAAGCCCAAACGGCAGCTCAGGTAGTGCTCTAACGGCTGAAACGTTTCCCTCGAAACTGGACCCCAGGATCGTATTTCGCATGGATTCATGGCGTAACCCATCAGTCTCGCGCGAAGACCCACTCGAAACACAGCGTTCTGCGTTTCTGTCGGGCGATGGGCTCGCAAGTAGCCTGCTGCTGACCGAGAGACGTAAGGAGTTCTCTCTACTACGGATTCTGAAGGGCATCCAGAACTTGATAGTTTGAGGGTTCAATTTTAGGCCTGGCTTCGGACTCAGCGTGCGCTAGAGTTGCGAAAAAGAAAAACTCAAATTCGAAGATTTGGGTGGACTAGATTGTCTTGTGCCTTTGAGGGAGATTTCCTTAGTATCTCGGAGCAACATAGGGGCTGTTCGCGGCGGGGGTTCAAAAAGATAAAATCATATCTCACTTCTTTAAGCCTGTGAAGTAGACGATCAGCTGGAAATGTCAGGCTTCCACTAACTGATAGCTACCGTCGCATTGGCTTATCAACCTGTTAACAACTCATTTTAGGATTGTACAAAGCTCGAGAACTGAGTGACGTAGTGATGATTGAGAAAGCGAAAGAAATTGATCTGCAAGTGTGGTGACTCTCGCTACGGCCTCTTAAAGGCAGTGTCCGGACAAAAATTCGACTTTGAGATTTTGCGCTCAACCGCGCCTATTCGCTACGCTGAATCCGAAAATGCACACTGAAGAGCGCGAAGACGGCGAAAAACGGGTCTAAAACAGCAGGGAAATTAGCAGGTGGGCGGGGTCCTCCACACTGTGAATTCACGCTCTCAGCTTCCGGAGCGATCTTCTCGCTTCCGGTTTCAAGTCAATCGATCGTACTTGGCCGATAGCGTTAGGACGGGTAGCAGAATCGAGAAGACCGCTCCGAAAGCTGAGAGTGTGAATTCACATTGGGAAGGACCCCGCCCACTTTCTGTTTTCCTCCTGCCCTAGAGCCCTTTTTTGCCGTTTTCGCGCTCTTCAGTGTGGACTCTCGAATTTCATCATGGCGAATAGGCCCGTATAAGCACAAAATCTCAAAATCGAGTTTTTGCCCGGACACTGCCTTTAAGTTTTCCAATCTTTTTTGTTGCCATCAACAATTTGGAAGTCGTCTTAGAAATTACGGTATCTGATATACATGCAGAACAGATTTTCGGACTCTTTCATCTAATTAAGGCAAAATGGTTGTCTTTAAAATGAGTTCATCAAGGTCAAGCATCGAAACCAAAGTAATTATACCAAATATGCCAGGTAAGCGAAGTGCTTCTTTATTGCATTCTAAAAAATGAAAGGAACTGAGAATATTTGCTGATGTCCTCTTTAGTACACCTATAGTAAGAGTATAACAAATTATGACTTGCAATCAACGTCTGCAATCAAGAACCCACAATCAATTGTTTATTCAGCGATGTTGAACCAACAATATTTGCCCACCAAATTGTAACTATGAGGCTGAATCACGAAACCCAATATTCCACATAAAAACAAATGATGATTTAGTAATAGTGTCATGGCGGAAGAGAGCACAAAGTGCTCATTCCATCTTATTTCTTCTTGTGAAGTCGCGTGCTCTGAAAATGGTAAGTATGGTAAAGCTAATCCTTCAGCAACAACTACGGTTGAGTATTGTATAACAGCGTATGACAATTAGTAAAAGAGTTTGTGTCTTCAAACCAAAGCCAGTGTAGACTCCATCAATAAATTTGGAATTTGGAACTGCTTGCTTAAGAATAAGTCAGAATTACCCGCTCTTTGATACAATTGTACATAAGTGAACAATTATTTTTGAAATAACTGAAACTTACTAAACCATTAAATCAAGTTCGTAGAGAAGAACTTGGAATAATGCAGGGTCTGCTTGCCTTATTACTGCTCTGACTTTCTTCGATTTCATGCACTCTTTCATATATTGACGTAGACTTGCCTGGAAAAGTTGTATTAATAGCAGTTTATTCCGAATCAGATGGAAATGACAGTAAAATAGTCTTGCAAGTGGTAATCTTACAAAACCACAAATCGTTACTTCTTCTCATAATAGCTAGCTGAACATTTTCCTAGAGAAATATCTCCTTTTATATGCGTACTCGCATCAGAAGCCACGTCCTCTCTTTCTGTAGCATGTAATGGACGGTTTCAAAGAAGACTTAAAAATTGAACTTTGAAAAATTGACTACTATATCAAGTGTGCATGCTTACGACATCAATGTTGAACATTGATCCATCCCGCTATAAAAATTACAAAAATTCAACAAACAAAGAATTGATTATATCTCTTCCGGGAAGGCACACCCTATCAAACAAGGATAGCTAAATTCTCCAAAACGTGATAACTGTTTATTAGTATAGATCCGATTTTTTCTCAAAACACAGTGGATTCAGAACGTAAGACACACCCTTCAAACTCCATATCTAAACAGTCTCCTGCGTCTGAAAATAATCTTTGATTAATTCACAGATATTTTGATTTCACCTCTTCTGTATCTCTATAGTTGTTCTTCCTTTTGTCAGCGATAGACATTTCTGGAAAAAAGATAAGATTTTTAGGTACTAGTCTGACATTATCCGGACCCATCTCTTTCAAAGAATAGCGTCTACCCTATCATATGATTTCCAACTATAAAGGAAGGAGCGCCAGTCTGCTGCCATGTGTCAAAAAATGGCATATCATCTACATTATGAGTTTCATCAAGAGTTTTGAGCGGCTAACATATCCATGTAAGTTCATGCTGTCTTCAATCAAAGTCCCCCCCCCCTCCCCCAGTTCAATTCTTGGCAGAGCAATAAAATAATTGTTTTTATCGAAGTGCATATTAGTCTGGATAGAACATAAAAGAGTGCTAAGATTTCAACATCTAACTTTCGAAGCAAGTCGCATTAACTTCGCACCATCATTGATTCTATTCTCTCGCTGTATTCACATGACGGTTGAAAGCAATCAAAATGTTCTGGTAAACGTTTGAGAGCCAAGCACGCATCACACGATCTCATCGTTTCGCGATTCTCACAACAGACAACTGTTACGCGTTCATTGGTGATCATCTTGCATTTCGGTTATGTTAGTTAGTCGCCCTTAGTTGTATTGGAAAACTATCATAACCGAAATGCAAAATCTGTATACAGTAAACTCGTAGCACTTGTCTTGTTGGGTGAATCGTGACGCGATGAGATCGCATCATGTACGCCCCCTTTAGGCTGTCTTACTTTTATGAAAAAGCAGCAGTACAGCCTTCAAATTATTTCACTTGCTTTAGTACTCTCAGCGAAAATGATAAATAAACTGAATGTCAAACTGAATCAAAACGTGTGAATTTTGCGTACCAGGTGCGAGGATACAGTTCCCATTGAATCCGTGAATACCTTTCTCTGGGTCAATGCACGTTTTTCTCCATGATTTTTCTAAATGGGTCCGGATAACGGAAATGTACCGATTTTTATACACAAAGCAAAGTTACGATCACCTACTCTGATCACTGGACAAACTCTTACTATAAACGGAACTTTTGTATGACACTTCCGAACGCTGCAATTTCATGGTGAACGCAAAATTGAATACATTATTGGAAAATAAACACACTCGTGCACAGGTTCGTTCATTTTGTGATTTGTAATTGTAGATCATTCGCAGGACTTTAATAATCCTCCACTTGGGAAACTGATCAGGTTTATACTGCCTAATGCATTGCACTTCAAAAACTCCATATTCTGTAAAGTTGGCTCATCAAGTTGCACTGTCAAGTCGTTAATACTTACCGCAGCCTTCAATTAACTTGTATGGATCCCTGATAAACTCGAGTTTCTCACTCCAAACAATGCCGACCCCATGTTCGTCCTTACAGCCTATGTGCTCCACTTTCACCACCAGCTGCAAATTAAGAATTGTTCAGATTGTAAGGTAAATCTAGGAATTGAATAAAAGTTGTGTATTGATAAGATTTATATATTTATATTTATATATCATATTATTTATTTATATTATTTATACGTCATAGGTGTTTGTTGTGTATATGCCACGTCACTGTTAAGTGATCTAACGACAATTTTGGCTATAGACTTGTATAGTCACGTTAAAGCTAAGAAATGAAAATGATTAGTGTTCGCATTACTTACTTACTTCTCTGGCCGATCACTTCCGCATGGTATCTTTTCAACTTCAGATGTTTATCAACAAACAAGTCTAGACATCAAATGATCCTCAGCGGTAACGTAAATGAGCACCGCGATGATTCCAGTTATAGGAAAGGATTCACCCTTCCGTGCCTATCATCGCAGTTGTTCGCAACATCAACAGAACAAATATGTCCTTATTCAGCTATCATAATTACAACTGAATAAATGGGGTCCTTTCTTTTGACTGCATGGAGGTCCGACACTCACGCCTCGACATGATCTTCTTTGAAATTATGCCCTTCAAGACTAGTGATTTGTCGCCGGCTAATGTACCGCTCCTTTGCGTCGTTTATACATCATCACGCAATTTCCTTCTAATAGGAGACGTTGCGTTTGACTTGTTACCTAAGTCAAAGCAAAGCATCAATTCGGCGGCAAGTGTGCCTCTCATTTCCAGATTAAAAGGGTCTTGGTTTGGTTTGGCATCTTCTTGGACAAAGCAGGCACCGGGCATAAGTATTCTCTGCGTACTTGTTCTATCGTTCTTTGCCCTCTCTCCGAAGAGGTACGAGTCCGATCCAGGTACTGCCTGAATCGGTCCAGTTCATCGATCTTTCAAAACTGTGCACTCTTTCTGTTTCGTTTTTACTTGTTCGTATTCATCAACTTCGTTCTCCCTTCCCTGGGCTCCTCAGTGTATGCTTTGCTGACTAGGTGACCTAGATATTTCTCATTGTCAATAGGTTCATTAATGTCATCTTCATTCAAAAAGGCAAGCAATTCGTCCTTCAGCATACGTCGGCCATTCCCACCCATCTCTTTGATCCCCTCTGCTATGAAAGCGTGCTCGACCTTGCCTTTTTCTCTCGAAATCAGTTGCTCGATATCATAGGGGCTGCCTGGTATCCCAAACATGAACTTTGCACAACTCGGAATCCAATTTGGCTATCGCGACTTACAAATGAGATGTCTCTCCATCTCGTTCTGTTAATGTGCCGTGAATAATCCTCATGATGCAGTCCGGAATTACAATTTATGCTGTCGCGGAATATTGTAAGTAAAGCAAATTTCTTTGTCCCAGGTTTTAATAAAAAAAGCTTCTCTACATTTCTACCAAAGCCCGCTATCTGCATTGTGCAGGTAAGACCGTTATCTATTAGGAGATGACCCGAATTTTTGACGCGCTGGTTCAATCATTAAACAACAAGATCCGTACAGCTGTTGTACAAACATTTTCTGCCCTACCGACCTTATAAATAGTTATGCGGTTGCAAATTCTGGCCACTGAAACTCCATGCGTTTGTTTGGAGGCAAATTGTTCAAAGAAAGCAACATATACAATTTCTTGGTTGGCTAGTGATAGTTACTTCGCAGCTATCTTGTTTCGTGGTTGCTGAAGTATGTCGAAAAGATTACAAATGTAGTAGGGTAAGTGACCGCAGTATGGGAGCGAAAACGACTTAGAACGTAAATTTCAAGAGCATAGAGCGTTCACTGCTCACAGTAATGCAAGAAAAGTGAAGTGGACAGCACGTACAATATAATCTGTGTGCTGAGGAAGAATCAAGAAAAGCGACAAAAAAGCGAGAAAAAGCAAATTCATAAGAGGAGAAATCATTTCCAATTAAACGAGTTATTCAGACCTGATAAAGTAATTCCACAACTTACTGAGAAGAATTCATTGTGTATGATGGGAATTATGCTTCTTGTTAGTGGTTTAACTGATCCCGTCACATGATAAATATGAGAATTTCGTTGGCGCGCAACAAATGTCACTTCCCGACCTAACAGATCTTTCACGCAATCAGCATCACTGAAATTCATTGTTTCTGTTTTGAACAGTGCAATTCGACTTGTTACTTACACGTTGCCACTATTAAAACGAACATCGTGAGGAAATTCACGAGATGTGATGTAGCTAAGTTTACTCTTCTGATTTACTGCTCCCACTATACCGCGGCTGCAATTCTCTTGAAGCTGGAAAGTCTAACATTGCGAAATAAAACAAAGCACTCAGCGATGCATTTACATGAAACTGACGTCAGTCGATTGCTGCAAATAGTCGTTTACACAACAAAGCTCCCATTTATGACCAGTACTCACAATACTTAGTTTGACTGTAGCATGCAGCTTCCCTGTAATTACATATTCAGTCCGCGATCAACAAAAGGATGCTTCAACTAAAGTTATAAAGATTTTGGCAGCTCATGCTGGGAAGAAAAAACATTAACTTAGCTTAAATTAGCAAAAATTACCTTAAGTTAGCAAAAAAAAAACAAACGGAATTGAGCTCAAAGCTGCAGTAAAAAGAGCTTTATTGTGAAGTCAAGAAAAATTTACCTATATACTTCTTTTCCAAAACGCCATTTTCGTCCTCAACGACTCCTATGATATCATTGAATACTGCCGGGTTTGAATATGGGATCGTTTTGTAGCGGACACAGCCACAAGTGTAAAAGCTGGCCCAAAACTAAATGGAGGCAATCTCTGCGGCTACTGTCCGCTACTTCCTTCGGGCTATCAACATCTTCATCAAGGTGGATCGACGACCCCAGAAGAAGACGACTTGTCGAAACGTTAGTTCAATAAAGTTTCACCGTATCAATCTGGTGGGTAGAACAACTATTAAATACATCAATCATCAATCATCATAAAATGCTCAGTTTCAAAGAGAAATAGGAGTTCAATAGAGAGACGGTTTTACGTAATTTTTACAAACACTTCAGTTCCACCTTTGAATCCGGACATCAGTATTATTGAATGCTTTGTGCCGAACAGGTTTACTTCGTGTTCTTTTTTATGTCCAACCACGGTCTTACGTTTCTAATCCTATCCATCTTCAAAGGCCCTATGAACACCGCTATATGAATTTGCGCCCGGAAGTGATCATCTGGCGGATGGAAGTACACAAATCTGTTCGTAGTGGAAGCATCAAAAATTATTTTAGAAACATGTCTAGGTAATACTATAATGCATTTCCAACCTTGGCTTCCTCTTTAGATCTGCTAAGTAGACGAAAAGACATTGGCAAATCTCCAGTGTATGCTTTCCATCTCACAACAATGATGATATTCCTGACATCCGAGCAAACTCTAAATCACTTAAATGTTTTGAGCGAAATTGACATTACATAAACGAAATAAAGGACAAGGAATTTGAACATTTACTGTTTTTTGAACGCTCATCGCTTCTTATCATGTGAGAAATACTGCTCAAAGGGAGTTCTGAACATTGGCTTCTATCTTTGAGGAGATTTCACTTGAAAATGCCAAAGTTGCGTTTCGTAGTCATAAAAATATCAAGAAATGCTATCGCGTTATTTTCGCACTTTTACATAAATGGCTGACCGAAGCATCTCTAAGGAACCTAAAAATAAGATACAATTATCACTCTGGGCAGTGGCGCTTTGTGGGCTGTGCTGAGTATAATGAATCGATTTAACAAAACTGTCAAGGTTTTGTTAAATTAATAGCAAAGTGTATTGGAGTGTATCAGTTTGTTTTTCCAGGCATTTTCTTTTTACGCTGTTACTGAAACTGCTTATAAAAGCAACAGCATAAATATCTTTTACGCTGTTACTAAAACTGCTTTTTATGATTACAACAGCATGAATAACATGAATCACATGCCAACATCCATCTGCTATCAAATTGAACAGAATGACTAGACTAGCTTTGATTCTGCAGATTTTTATGAGCAATTGCGCCGCGTGCATCCAGCACGCTCCTAGCGCTCATAACGTGCAGCGGGCTAGGCTGTTTTATATGTAGTCTCGAAAAAATAAAGTGGCGACGCTTATATGTTGTGCTCGTACAAGCATGCCCAGCGTAAACAGCGTACATCGTCGTCGTCGCCGTTTAGGCTGCGTTCAGATATGTATGCCAAATATGCTAACGGTACCAAGTCTTCAGTATAAAGTGAAGTTTTTGTTGCATTTAGCTGAACGAAGCAGCCTTTATACCAGCACAAGTCATACTAAAAGAAACACAAAAGGCACTGAAGGTGACCCACCTGTAATCAATGACAATCACGGCACCGATGGCTGGAACAAAGGGCATATGCTCAAACCTTCCCAATACAAAACTCTTATTGACGATCAGGAGAAATGAATTGGGCGTAGCCATCTTCTTTATGACTACTGCGTTTGTCAGGCTAGCGCCCATTCTGAACCGGAATGGCCGAGACGCCAACACTAACTGAGAATCCCTCAAAGGTCAGTCTGCAATAGAGCAATGCATATAATTCTAATTGCACTTCATGCTTACGACTGATAATGCCTCCATGCAAACAAAACTTTAACGTACATAATATAAAAAGCATATTTATCCCGTTTTCCTTCAAGTTGATGTTTATTTCCGCTTGTCTCAACTTCTTTTGCTTTTTTGGCAGGGTAGTTCAAACATCTCTTCATGCCCGTTAAATATATTGAAAAACCGATGTAAACGATAAACCACACTTAATCATACACCCTATATGTTTAACCATCATATACTGCGCAATTCTTGGTCAGGTCTCAAATCAACCATATGTTGGCATACTTAGACTTGATGTACAGGGCTCGGCGCAAATTGCTCTAGTTTTGTGAACAAAGTCCCGTTCATTCAGGGAAAAAACATGAGAGAAAGAAAACGAACTAAGAAAAAACTTTAAAAAATGAAGCAAAATACGGAACCAAATGCGCCCTAAGTAGGCGTAGTGGGAAACTGGAATAAATTTTGCGGGCAAAAACCATAGAAAGTTTGAATACAGAAAAAGGTTTGAAAATTCAAAAATCAAGTGAGGAGAGAATAGAATTATAGTCTATTTTTTCTGGGTCAAAAATCAGGTACCATGGTCTGATTAGACCGAAAGCAGCATTGCAATTTCAGAACTAGGCAGCCTCCCAATGTTGTGGCATAGGGAAGAATATCGACTTATAGGGCAGGTCCCCTCTACTGCTGGAAGCAGATACTCACTAGGTGGCCCATGGCCTAAGTTCAAAAAAAGCTGGTTATTCTTCTGATTCAATCGTGGTTTTTTCACAATGTTTTGTACACTACTCCTACATTCCGTTGCTTAATATTGGCTATTTCTTGTGATCACGCCGTTTACCAATTCTAGAGCACAGTTAAATTCCCGCATTGCGCATAAACAAAATCAAAAAATATTAGGTTGGTTCGAAAGTTCTGGGACATTTTCGAACTAGATCTGCTATTTCTCGAAACCTAACCCATGTACATCAGTTAGAGGTACCATTCACTAGAGCAAAGCAAGCTCTACAAGATAGTGTGCAAAAACTCGCACCAGCTCCGACTCACCGTAAGTTTGCACCCAAAATCTGAGTCGTACTGGAATACAAAAAATCGCGAAAAATTCATATCTTCGTTCAGACAAACCCTGCGGATCTCCAAATTGCTCACAAAAATTGTACACCACATCAGACACTTATATGCACCGGATCCGCATTTTTTCCTCATCTAGAAATCGAGAAAACGAAAATTTTTATGCTTATATAAAAACGAAGCTGTGCTGTTTTCACCCATGTAACTAAATAGAACAAGCCCTTAGAAGTATAACCGAAAATTTTCAGCTTTTCGTAGGCCCTAATTGTCGAAAAAAAAACTGATTTCAGCATGGAACGCCCGAGTGAGGAGAGCTGGATTCGGTAATTTTCGCGAACTAGGGCCTCTACAAAGCTGAAAATTTAGGGTTATACTTCCAAGGACTTGTACCATTCAATTACATGGGTGAAAACAGCACAGCTTCGTTTTTATATAAACATGAAAATTTTCGTTTTCTTGATTTCTAGTTGAGGAAGAAATACAGATACGATGCACATGAGTGTCTGATGTGGTGTACAATTTTTGTGAGCAAGTTGGAGATCCGCAGGATTTGTCTGAACGAAGATATAAATTTTTAGCGATTTTTTGTATTCCAGTACGACTCAGATTTTGGGTGCGAACTTACGGTGAGTCGGAGCTGGTGCGAGTTTTTGCACACTTTCTTGTAGAGCTTGCTTTGCTCTATCGAATAGTACCTCTAACTGATATACATACGTTAGGTTTCGAGAAATAGCAGATCTAGTTCGAAAATGTCCCAGAACTTTCGAGCCAACCTAATAAATTCGGCGTTTTCAATGCCCTCTGCGGGCCCCAATTTGACATTAAAGATTGCCGTTGTAGGCAGGGTCTGGGCATATCTGAGCACATAAGCAAGTAAAACTGATGAAGGCTTGTATACCTGAAAGTAGGTTACACTACCGCATACCGCTTCCTCAGCGGCGCCCAACCTGGGGAGTCGTACTGGGGGTAAGGGAAGGGATTCGTAACAAGAATCGGATTCGTTCAAAAAAATTGAGGAAATAACCTACTATACAAGCCGCAAACTGATTGCTCTAAATGCAAAATCGCCAAAGCAAAATGCGTACCATCTCTGATAATCGCCGGGGGCAGGCGGCCATGCCATTTTTGGGCAAGCGGGCACCGGGAAGATAGTTCGCTGATTTCTTGCGGTCCGCTTGCAGATATTTGGAAGAATTTTAGCGAAATCTTGAACGAATGCTTGAAGAACAATTGCGGTTTCCTTGCAGATTAGCTGCGGTGCAGTGGCCGCACTCACGGAAAGCCCGCGGGAATATGCAAAATTTTCGGGGGCCGCACGGTCCTTTATGGAGGACCGCGCAGCCCCCAGGTACTTTCCACTGAGAAAAAGTATCTCAAACTTGAGTAATTAAACCATCGATGACTCCTCTGCCATGTAGAGACTCACCTTTGCTCGGCCTACACCCGAAACTGCTTAAAAACCGTCCGAGTGCCAAAAATTTGACCAGCGCTCGCTGAAAGAGATTATTTGACGAGCGCCTGCAGAAAATTCTGTGTTGCTCCCCGCTGGCAAAACATTAGACAGTAAAGGAAGTGCCGCCCGCTGAAGGTTTGGCCACGCCCCAAAATTCTGCTGAGCGCCCGCAGAAAAGCGCGAGTTTGCGGACCGCCTGCCCCCGGCGATTGTCTGAGGTGGAGCACGTTCGACCGCTACTCGGCGCATACAGCCTGATGGCGCGAACTTACAGTGGCTATGGTTATTTCAATTACAAGGAAGAAGCACATTTACCAAAAACATAAATTAGTGTTTTTGTAACCTATTGCGTGAAACATGCGCTACAGAATACTTGACAGATCGCGCAATCAAATGCTCAGAGCTCATCCCAGGTAGTCGCTTGGCAGATAATAAACATATATTTGTGATCAGTGTTTCGAAGTTCAATGATGTATAGCATGTTTGGTATGGCTGGGTTGAGTTCTGACCATTTCTTTCTTAGCAGCGCCGTAGTATATCCTCAATGCACTTTCAAAGCATTAGCGCTGAGTTTTCATGAAGATAAATGGGTATAAAAATGAGAATCTAATCTTGTATGGCAGTGACTCGGTATTATATTTGCGCAACTATAAAGATATGAGAGCCTCTATAAGCCAAATAAAGAAAGAAGAAGATATTTAGAGTAGAGAAATATGACGCGTCTCCTCTCAGACCCCCTCTCCACGCGGGGGCGTGAATACATGCATACGGGCCTAAGCATGCTACCGTAACTCAGTACATTCCCAATACTTTCCCTTTGATTGGCGAGAAAAGATTGTATCTTTTCTAAAAGAAACGATCCTAGATAAAATTCCGGTACTTTTCCGTTATCCGGACCCATTTTCTCAAAAGCCTCTCATAAAATACGTTCTTTACTGTAAAAACAATTTCTCATAGATTCCACGAGAGCTGCCTCCCTGCCATGTGATAGGAAAAAATTGACACATTTTCTTCCATTTTGACATGTTTTTTTTTTCGAAATCATTTTCGGTGAGGTAAAAGAGCATTTGTGACCACCTCAAAGCTGTCTTTATTGTTTTCCATAAAAGCAAAGCAATCTAGTTTATATTAGAGCAACTTGATTGTTTTCAACAATGATTCAGAAGCGACTTTCCCTTCAAACATTTCGCCATGACATTTTGGCCAGGAAAGACTATAAATGATTGCTTGAAGTACCACGCTGCTTCAGGTTTCGCCGCCTAAGTGATGGACTCCTAGCGCACTTCTATATTCTGGGCAGGTTCATTGATAACAGGATGATGTTATTATGATAGCAATGTTCATTTTGATACTGTTCAATCGTTAATGGCCCACTATTGACAAAAGCAGATCAAACTTACGTCGCTAGGTAAGGGAACTCAAACTCTTGGTGTAACCTGTTAAACATGTAGGATGACATGTCAAATTTTGACACGTGGCAAAAGGTTGACACTCCTTCCTGTGGAGAGGGAACCGAATATGGTATGAGGAAAGAAGCAATATCCTTTTTTGAAGAAATGGGTCCGGATAACGGAAAAGTACCGAAATTACTACTATTTGGAGAAAAAGTTTAGCAGTGGCAACGATATAAAAAAATATGGACATTTGTATGCTTTAAAGTTAAGTTATTGGGGTGTGGCAGCGACAGCTTTCCTGGTACGGTTCCACACTCCACTAATTACCTTCAAGAAAATTTTAACGATTGTTGTTCATACATTCGATACTAAAACCTCCTAGTTCTCATAGAAGTGATTTGAACCTCATTCGTCTTCTTTAACCGCAGTAATAATTGGTTAAAGCACAAATACTAGGAGAAAAAAATTGGACGAATGAGATTTTGATTGGCTCATTCCAATGTTTAATAGTCATTTGAAGAGTGATTCTTGAGGTTGATTGATAAGGAGTAGTGCTTTATATTGTGTACAGATAAAGGTTGTTAATTTACTTTTGAAATAAAGTTGATCATTTTGTGTTAGTATGCCGTTATATGCCGGACCCAGGTTTGTACGGTGGTATCTTTATTCGACCTTACGTTTCGGCGGTAACCAGGAACCAGTATTGGCACGCTTACCATTGATGTACTGTCGTTACATCGATGACTGCTGTGTTATAACCTCGACACAGTTCAGAAATGGACGAATGCTTTAGAATCCTACAGCAGTCACAGTATATCAAGCTTACACGAGAAACTTCGAACAACGGGTGGCTTCCCTTCCTGAATACGCAGATACAGCTGGTTGATAACAGTGTTTTCGTATAAAATGGTACAGGAAGGAAAGTTCCAAAAACATCATACTTCACGCCAACTCAGCGCATCCGAAAGCAGTAAAACTAGTGTTGTTCGCAACATGTTCCGAACTGCCGCGAATGGATGTACGGGTGCACAAGAACGTTTTGAATCCAGATTA